TTTTTTTTTTTTTTTTTTTTAGTTTTTTTTTTTAGTTTTTCGAGACAGGGTTTCTCTGTGGTTTTGGAGCCTGTCCTGGAACTAGCTCTTGTAGACCAGGCTGGTCTCGAACTCACAGAGATCCGCCTGCCTCTGTCTCCCAAGTGCTGGGATTAAAGGCGTGCGCCACCACCGCCCGGCTGTGTATACTTTTTAAAATGCATGAGCTAATTACATCCTCAGCATGTTTTTGCCAACCCTTTAGCTCTGTTCTTCCTTTAGCTCTGTTCTTCCTTCAGCTACTGCTGTTGAGACTGTGGCCTTTTCCCTAGAGACTAAATCCATCCATGGTCACTGTAGCCTCCTAGATGTCAACTCTAAAGGGCTTCACCTAATCCTCAGCACACTTGCTTCTTATGTGTGTGGTTTTTTGTTTTTTGTTTTTTTAGTTTTTCGAGACACCGCCCAGTTTCTCATGTGGTTTTGACATTTCTAACTTCCCTCCTCTTGAAACAACAATGTTCCCTTTGCTCCTGAAGTGTCCCCTCCTGTCCCTGGTCCCTGTCTCCATTACCAGGCAGAGGCAGGCGGATCTCTGTGAGTTCGAGGCCAGCCTGGTCTACAAGAGCTAGTGCCAGGACAGGCTCCAAAGCTACAGTGACCATCTGAGGTCTTCTATTACAGGTCAGACACTTCGACAGCCCCTACCTGTTGTACCATGAGAAAATCAAAACTAGCCGAGTGTTCATCCGAGACTGCAGCATGGTGTCTGTGTACCCCCTGGTCTTGTTTGGAGGAGGCCAAGTGAACGTGCAGCTTCAGAGGGGAGCGTTCGTGGTCTCCCTGGATGATGGGTGGATCCGGTTTGTAGCTGCTTCCCATCAGGTAAAGGAATAGCTGATGTGTTTAAAGGCTCAGGTCTTGAAGAGCGTTGATGATGTGAAATGTACAACAGAACCCATGGACGGCAAGGGCGGAACCACATGAACCAGAGAAGCACCCTAGTAACGGTGCCAGGAAGCACCTGGGGCAGGGATGCCCAGATGGGTTAGAATTGATGGAAAGGTTTAAGATCAGAGTCTCCATTATTTGGGAGGCTGAGGCAGGAGGATTACTGTGAGTTTGTGAACAACCAGAGTGACAGAGAAAAGCCTTGCTTCAAAAACAAATAAAACAAGCAGAATCTATAGAGAGAGGGTGTTGGGACTTCCGTAATGTAATACAACTAAGCAAAAATAAATGGATAAAAATCATTCTGATCACCCAAGGACACTACATACAATCATAATCAAAGACTATTAAACACAGCATCATTTCCATTACCATGAAAGAAAAATATGGTCAGGCTATAGCTCATTGCTAGGACCTGGGTTTAATCTCCAGAACCACAAAAATAAAGCAATAATTAATTAATTAAAATGAGGGGCTGGAGAGATGGCTCAGAGGTTAAGAACACTGACTGTTCTTTCAGAGGTCCTGAGTTCAATTCCCAGCAAGCACATTGTGGCTCACAACCATCTGTAATGAGATCTGGTGCCTTCTTCTGGCCTGTAAACATACATGCAGACAGACACTGTGTACATAATAAATAAATCTTTAAAAAATTAATTAAAATGTATAGCGATAGTCCCAGTCACCTAGGAAACAGAAGCAAGAGATCAGCCTGGGCAGCATAGTAAAACCTTATTAAAAAAAAATCCTGAGAATATACCTCAGTGGTAGAGCATGCAGTCAGCAGGTATAAGGCTTTGTATAAAATACCCCAGTACTATCAAAAAAAAGTGGAAAAAATGGGTGAAATTAATCTTAATGTAGTTTATTTAAACTAATATACCCAGGATGTTTTAATTTCAACATGTAATCAATACAAAAAGCTACTGAGTTACTTTATATTCTCTTTTCATATTAAGTCTCTAAAGACAGGGGTGTATTTACACTATTGGCACATCTCAGTTTGAACCAGGCACAGTTTATATGCTTATTCAAATAACTATATGTGACTAGTGGCTATCATAAATCAAGGGGCCAGGCAAGGTTGGTTTGGTGCAGCAGCTCAATGACAATAAAGGCCCTCAGCTTGTGTGAGCAAGATGACTGCCCGAGATCCTGCTCCACATCTGTACACCATGCCATCCCAGACAGGAGACAAATCTGCAGCCTTCTCAACCCTAGTAAAGCCTCCCTCCTAAGGTGTGGCGTTGGCATGTGCTTATAATCCTAGCACTTGCACACTGAGGTGAGTGGTTCATTGTGGGTTCAGTGTGGCCATCCTGGGATACATAGTGAGACCACATAGTGAGAACCTAGCTAAACCAAAACAAAACAAAAAACCCTTGCATCATGGTAATACCTGTAATCCCAGAATAAGAAGTAACAGGAACTCTTGACCAACCTCAGCTTTATGAGACTAGTCTGAGCTAGCTATATAAAATCTTGTTCAAAAGGAAAAGAAAAACGGCAGAAAAAGACTGGTGAGGTGTCTTAGCAGGTAGGGGTGCTTGCTGCCAAACCGAGAGCTGTGGTCCTGACCATCACGTACATGCTGTGGCCCAAAAGCACACACAAATGCACCAAATAAAAAACACAAACATGGTTTTTAAGAAACTCCCACTGGGACTGGAGAGATGGCTCAGTGGTTAAGAGCACTGGCCTCTGTTCCAGAGGGCCCAGATTCAATTCTCAACACCCACATGGCAGCTCACAACTGTCTGTGACTTCAGTTCTGGGGATCCAGCACCTTCACACAGACAGACATGCAGACAAAACACAGTGTACATAAAATAAAATTTAAAAAAAGCTTCGGCTGGGCCGGGCGGTGGTGGCGCACGCCTTTAAACCCAGCACTCCGGAGGCAGAGGCAGGCACAGGCGGATCCCTGTGAGTTCGAGGCCAGCCTGGTCTACAAAAGCTAGTTCCAGGACAGGAACCAAAAGCTAAAAAAAAAAAAAAAAGCTTCGGCTGAACATAGGCTCACACCTGGAATCCCAGCATTTTGGAGGATGAGTTGGAAAGATTTGTGAGTTCGAGGCTACAGTCTGAGCTACAGTGTGAGACTGTCTCAACAACCCAGGAAGGCTGGGGAGGTGGCACAGCAATAAAGTGTTTTCTGTGTGAGCATGAGGCCCTGAATTCAGATTCCCATGCACACACCCACATGTGTGCACGTGCATGCACAGACACAAGGTCAACAAGCCCTGCTCACAGGCTGGGGTGAGAGGATAAAAGCTCCAGGCCAGCCCGACTACATAGCAAGAGCTTATCTTTAAACAAATAGTAAATAGATGTGATAGAGAGAAATTAATAATAGATAGATGTGTTTATAATGGGCCTCATTAGTATATTGCAGAGTGATAATCATGATTGGATATTTTTCTATGAAAACCTTCCCCTTTCCTCCCAGCACAGCTAACACTGCGTTTTCATTGTAGATAGCTGAACTGGTAAAGGAACTTCGCTGTGAACTTGACCAGCTCCTCCAGGATAAAATTAAAAACCCAAGCACGGACCTGTGTACGTGTCCTCGAGGTTCTCGGATCATCAGCATGATCGTGAAGCTTGTCACCACACAGTAACCCCGAGCGCGGGCGCCTGCTTGTCACCACCCCTGCTCCCCTGCGAGTCACAGCAGCACCTCTACCTCCGACTGAAGCCCTGGGGAGCTGGGGACACGCGGCCTGAGTGCCGAGCCAGCCAGGCTCCACACCGTGTTTCTGAAGGCGTGGGACACTCCCGGCACAATTTGGAGTGTCAGTGGTAGAACAGTCTAAACCCAGCCTGCCTCTTTGTGACTGCACCAGACTGAATGAGATTCACCTCATAACTCAAAAATGAGTGTTTAATACAAGTTTCCGTCTTACTCTGTATTCTTCTCCTACTTTTTATTATGCTTTGTCTATACATGATTGATAATCCTTTTCTCCTGTTTTTTATTGGGCATGAGAAATGTTTGGTTTGGTTTTCCCCCATGATAATAAAGGCTTAATGGAGAGAGCTCGAATGAGAGAGAAAATCATGTGCGTCAGGAAAATAAAGACTTCATTCTAGACTTGGCTGTGGAGCAAACTTATTGGCATTGCATTCATAGTCATAAAAGATCAGCTTTCTAAAAAGAAGTAAAATCCTGTCTTCAAAAGAGAACAATCAGGCTGAATAAATGGCTTACTCAGTGGTTAAGAGCACTGGCTACTCTGCCAGAAGGACTGGGTTCAATTCCCAGCACCCACATGGCAGCTCACACCTGTCTGTGACTCCAGTTCCGGAGATCTGACACTCCCACTCAGACACACATGCGGGCAAAACACCAATGCACATAGAAATAAAATCTTTTTATTTTTTGTTATTATTAATTTATTTATTAAAGATTTCTGTCTCTTCCCAACCGCAGCCTCCCATTTCCCTCCCCCTCCCCCAATAAAGTCCCCCTCTCTCATCAGCCCGAAGAGCAGTCAGGGTTCCCTGACCTGTGGGAAGTCCAAGGACCACCCACCTCCTTCCAGGTCTAGTAAGGTGAGCATTTAAACTGCCTAGGCTCCCACAAAGCCAGTACATGCAGTAGGATCAAAACCCATTGCCATTGTTCTTGACTTCTCAGCAGTCCTCATTGTCCGCTATGTTCAGCAAGTCAGGTTTTATCCCATGCTTTTTCAGACCCAGGCCAGCTGGCCTTGGTGAGTTCCCGATAGAACATCCCCATTCTCTCTGTGGGTGCACCCCTCACAGTCCTGAGTTCCTTGCTCGTGCTCTCTCTTCTTCTGCTCCTGATTTGGACCTTGAGGTTTCAGTCCGGTGCTCCAATGTGGGTCTCTGTCTCTGTCTCCTTTCATCGCCTGATGAAGGTTAATATTCAGGAGGATGCCTATATGTTTTTCTTTGGGTTCTCCTTCTTATTTAGCTTCTCTAAGAACCCGAATTATAGGCTCAATGTCCTTTATTTATGGCTAGAAACCAAATATGAGTGAGTACATCCCATGTTCCTCTTTTTG